TACCCAATCTTCCTGCTGCTTGTACCTGACAAGTCATAATTCTCTGTTTATGATGCAACATTTTTACATTGCTGGAAGAATGACGGCCATGTCAAAATTTAGCATCATCACTACAGGAACAAAGAAGAGAAGTGAAACAGAGGTCTTTTAAAGCAGATTTTTGGGGACAGATACTGTCACCTTATGTCCATGAGTCATTGGGATAACCTGGAATAAGGTACTATCCAACATGAGTAAGGGTAGTGGAATGTGTCACTTTAACAGGAAGTAAGCCAGGAAATGACGGCATTTAAAAAAGTAATTTAAATTTTAACAAACACACATTTGAATTTTTTTTCACACTTCTCACTAACTTAATATGTAAAAATGTTAGAGACAATCAGCAAAAATCCTTTATGAGCTACAGCGCATTGCAATGCTTTCAGCTACTATAGAATACTATAATTATGCACATATATAGAGGGGAAGACCACAGAAGGCATCTATCACTGCCGGAATAGTAACAGTAGTTCCTGTACTGCAGTTATGCAAAGTAATCAGTACAATGCACTTCTTTCTCTGATACTCTGATTGCTACTGACTAAGATTTTCAAAGCTAACTCATGGATTAGACACCCAAATCCCATTAAAATGACTGGGAACTAAGTGTTCAAATCCTTTACGCAGCTTTGAGAATCTCAGCCACAGTGTTTATAGAGTTGAAAGTTAGGCTCTTGAGGGAAAGATGGTAGAACCAGAAAGCAGGAGGAGTGAGGTTGCACGGACTGTGAGCTGCATATGCAGACAGCTCTTTTCCTGTAACTGAAGGACAAATGGTGTTCTAGTACAAGAGTAGTTCTGTTAACACAACTTGAACATGACTCTTGTCCCTCCATTTAGCACACCTGAACTCTTCCACTACAAATAACTCCACACAAAACACTGAAGCAGGAGCTTCTACTTAATGCTACTTTAAAAATATTGAAACATTTGAAAAGAACTTTAATGTTCTGCTCACAACATTAAAGATGGCCAGTTTAATTTTCCTCTCAGGAAAATGATATCTGTCAATGCTGTCTGTGGTTTTTAGAACAGCTTGGAGTTAAGCAAAATCTGGGTTTCTATTCCCTGCTGGCCTACTGAGCCAAGCCCTTCACTTCACTTTTATGTGGAATAATGGGGTAATACAACTTTATAAAACATTATAAAGTCCTTGGATAAAAAGATTATTCTATTCTGCATACCTAAATGAGGCATATCATGGTTCATTATATAGTTTTAGCATGTCAGGGTTTCAACACAGTCAGGGGACCTGAGGAGAAATCCTCTACTAAGACTCCAACCTAGGAAGAGAGTTGGTAAAGTTGCTTTAGATTTTGGACTGGCTGGGAACTAGCATGGCCTTTGGCATAAATCAGCGTAGTCCGGGGGTTGCTCTAATTTACAGCCGCATCCCAAGGACTCCCTACAATTTGTATCACAGCCCAAAAATCAGCAAGTGCTAAAGAGATACCGACCCTCCTGTCCCAACATGCCTCTGATGCTTTGGCTTGTGAGGTGGGCATATAGGGCTGCCTATGGTGGCTCTGTGCAGGCCCCACACCAGGCAATTCTCCATTGGCCCCAATAGCCACTGTAAGCTGCTGGAGCTGTGTATGTGGGTCAGAGTGGAAGAGAGACTCTCCTTCGGTTTCTATCATTGGCACCTCCACTGACTCCTTTTGTGACCTTGAGCAAGTCTAACTTCTCCACATCCATTTCCTAATCTCAGATGGGAACAAGGTCACTTCTCTACCTGTGTAAGCTACGTATGCCAAACATTATAAATGACAAGCATATACTGTTAATATTTGGCAGTAAGTCAAAAAGCCATAGTACCAATTTCTTTAATTGGGCTCCACATTTGACAGGTTCTTGCTCTAGCAACACCAGATATAATTTGGATAAGAAAAAACAAATTGGTGCATTTTGTCTTGGTAGTTTACTTGTGTGAGCCATGTTTCTGCTCAAAGACATCATTGCATCTTGCAATGTGAAAACACATAATTGCAGATAAAGCATCCTGAGGTGTTGAAAAGCGGGTTTCCATTCACTGTAACTCTTCATTTTGGTAAACTGCACTCTTCATAAATAATGACTATATTCTAGCTTTCCTCAGGAAAAGAGACCTGGGAAAATAGCCAATATCAACAGAAAATATAGAGTTGCCATTATGTATTCAGAACCACACTGGCTACTGTCCAGCTATCATGCAAACATTAAAAATTTTAAAGCTTCTGTAATTATTTTATTTCAAACAAGGTACATTTACGGGAATCATGAACACATACAACGTGGCAACAGTCTATGCAGTCTGAATCTTCGTGTAATAAAACAAAGGCTATACAGCTATGCAGGACCCGCAAACCAAATGGTTATCAATATATTCTGAAATTTTAAGGAAAGAATAATTTGTGTCTTCACCAAGAAAAAAATCTCTCTCAAAACTTCCTTCACAGCAAGTTGGGGAACTGCCAAGAGACAACACATTAATTGTTTTTTAAGCTTGCAGTTTTTGAATGGAGATTATATAAATAAATAAAAGTCAGCAGCAATTTTCTAACATGTATCATGAAAATAGCTATCTGTTGTATACAAAGATCATCCCAGCTGAGAGGCCTTAGATACTTTTTTTATTTTTTAGGGCAAATTCCTATGTCAAAGGTCATTTTATTAATACAGAAGCACACTCGTATCAATGTTTCTACATTTTCTAACATGGAAATTATGTGCCTAATCATGCAACCCCTATGCATGAAGTGCCCCTTTGAAATCACTGTGAACTCTGAGTTGAGGGTTTGCAGGCTCAATCCTTAATTTATTGTTGTTCTACTATAAATGGAAACTTTAGTATCCATGAAAGAGATGGTGTATTCTAAGGCCCAGCACAATTTGCCTTACATGATTTTCCACATACACATCTACCAATGCACCTGCCTCAAACTAAAACATCACCACAATGTTGATATCAAATGGCTGCCAATTGTAACAAGTTGTGGTGTTTGTATTGTGGACAGATGTCCTCTTGGGAATGGAGTGAAACACAAATCAAATTTGAATCCATCTCTCTAGAGAAAAAAATAGTCTGAAAAAAGTGACTGCTAACATGTCATTGTGGGGTTCCAACATTTATGCCCAATGACATCCAGATGCTTAATAAATTTACTGATAGTCCTGTAAACTCAACTTGGGATCTGAAAAGGGGAAAAAAATCAGTTATTTTTTGTTAGTGTCCTTTATTTATTTATTTGGAGATATACCTATCTCATAGAACTGGAAGGGACCCTGAAAGGTCATTGAGTCCAACCCCCTGCCTTCACTAGCAGGACCAAGTACTGATTTTTGTCCCAGATCCCTAAGTGGCCCCCTCAAGGATTGACCTCACACCCCTGGGTTTAGCAGGCCAATGCTCAAACCACTGAGCTATCCCTCCCCCGTCTCTTCAAACTCTCCAACATTCACATCACCTACAGCTCATCAGTCCCCAGTGCAGCTGCTAGGGTGACTTTCATTTCATTCATTTAATTTTAATAAACACATTATAAAGAATGACTCTGGATTAACTTGTTCATTCACTATCATTGCCTTGGTTTTTCTTCTTTCCTCTTAATCAGAAATTGTTATCAAAACCATCAACTGCTGGATTAAATAATCTAAGGCTTAATCAGAGGACTGTTTAATCAGAAATGCTGTATGTACTTGAAGACAAAAGCATATTCACTACAGATCAAAGGTACAGATTCCAGACCATGAGAATATTAATGGATATAATCTCTTCTGCAACACCAGCAGAATATTGATACCAAGAAAGAACTTTTTCCTTGATAAGGAGCACATCACAACAATGAAGCATTATTTGAAGTGTTTTCTTCTTAGCATGAGGCATCCCTGGACACCAGCCTGTAGTCCTTTTAAATTCAGGCAGATAACATACACTGGAGTATAATCTTCTCTAAAGTGGTTCACTTGCATGCATCAAGAAAAGGCTCCATAACTGATGGGAATGGGGGATAGCACATATCCGCGCTACTCTTGGATCCACAAAGGCTAGATGGTCCATGGACCGACTCTCACCACCAGCTGTTGAGAAATGCCTATGTTTTATTCTGCTATGCTCAGTTCCGCCCATAACCCCAGCCACCTTTCGTGTGTGTAGCATCCAAGAAGCAGAACAGCAGGGGAGAAGTGCAGAGAGGCTGCATAAGTCAATGCTACACACTTGCATGCTGTAGCCCACTGTTCCACAACAGTGCGTGCTGTAGCCAATCCTTAGACTGTCTGGGGCAGTTTCTTTTAGTTTCCAGAGAAGGGGAAAAAAGGCAGGGGCATAGCAGAGCACAGCCCACAAGATCACAACTATGAGACTGCAGTGCCCAAGATCCCTGCTTATGGAGTGGGGAAGCAGCTGTGCAAAACTTGTAACTGGTGCTCCATGACCAACTGCAGAGCTGGAGGGGAGAGGACCTTTGTGCAGAAACCAGGATTTTGGCATGTGAACAGAAAGAAGATAGGGAGAGGAGAGAAAAACCCATGCCGTATACCGAAATGAAAAACATTCACCTCGTACAGAGTTGCAGTTGACCATCAAGATCTGATCAAAATGCCCTCCTCCCCAACCACGAAAGACTCTCACACTTCAGCACAATTCTTTAAGTTGCTTAAATACCTTAGGACATGCTGGACAATCCAATGTGGACCTTTCATATCTGCACTGTATTTACATTCTCTCTTATGGATGGGTTTATGAAAGTATTCTTTTCAGAGATAACATTGCAAAATTCCTTTCTACGCTTGATTGAAATTTCTGCTCCATTTCAAATTAACATATTAAGACCACAACCATTATTTTACATAAATCATTGCATTTCAATGTATTCTAGAATACAGCAAATATGTATATAGAGTTGTGGGGGCAGGGGCACGGAAGATATATATATGGGGAGGGGAGGGAGAAGAGGAAAAAAATAAAAAAAAACACTTACAAGGATTGTAAACCACTTAGTCCTCTAATGGCCTCATTAGGTACAGTCTTCAGCTGATTGTTCTGTAGGGTTCTGTAGAAGAATTTTTGTTAGTGAAAGATTTTCACAATAATCTTTAAAGTAGCTTCTATTTGACATAAGAGATCATATTCCTCATTAGTGGACTTTTTGTACAAGAAAAAGCATTTTGGAATTCTCAAGACAAAATACTCAATGATAATGTTAAAACAATAGTGAAAATGTCTTATTTTAGGTCCTTACACAATCACTGCATTAATTAAACAATCTACATCAATGGGCTGGATTTCTTGAATATAATGGGCCAAAATCATCTCTGATATAAACTGTTGCAATTCCCCTTGACTTCATTGGGAGCTGCAACAATTTACATTGGGGCTCAATTTGCTCCAATAAATAGCATTTTATGATTTACCATTGCTTGCATTTTCATGGTTGTTTCTACTGATTCCTCTATTTCTAGAAAAAATGGCACCAAAGTAGAATTTATTTTAATAATTGCATTTGCATAGTGTGCCGATTCTGGGCACATTCACAGTATGAAACACCACACAGAAATGTTACTGAATAATGTCAGCAAAAAAGTACAAAATGGTAGAGTCTGCAATGAACTATTCAGGAATCCAGCCTGTTCTCTACTGCCATATAACTCTTCCTCACTCTCTACAGCCTCACCCACACTTATCTTTGCCCCTCCATTTTGTTCTATAATGGAACCGTACTGTGGGATGTACATTGTTGATTTTAGAGAGAGATTTCTAAAGAAAGGTAGTGACAGGCTACATTAAGTTATATCAAATCGATAAGTTCTCTTATAAGACAATGTTTTGGTCGTGGTGAATAATATTTTTTATCAACAGCATTTGATGTTGGATGCCCAGCTTGAGATCATAGGCACTGACTCCGTGGGTACTCCGGGGCTAGAGCACCCACAGGGAAAAAATGGAGGGTGCAGAGCACCCCCCAGTAGTCCCCCACCGATCAATGACTCCCACGATCAGCTGTTTCGTGGTGTGCAGGAGGTGCTGAGGGGGAGGGGCGTGACACACGCAGGGGTAGTGGGGGGGAACAAGGCAGGAGGAGGAGGACCACCAAGGGGTGGAGTGGGGGCGGGGCCCGGGACAGAGCCTGGGATCAAGCACCCCCGGCACATTGGAATGTGACAGCGCCTGTGCTTGAGATACCTTAAAGGGCCTGATTTTGAGTACCTTCCCTGCATTTACCTTACAAAACCTCCTGTAGCAGTATTGCAGATGATGAGTTTCTCAGTCCTCCCTTACTCCTGGGCCTATGCTTCTTTCCTTTTTCCCCCTCAGGGGCCTTCCCTCAGCCTCTTTGTATCCCTTCTCTATTCGGCCGATCTTTGTATAAATACACCCCGTTACCCAAGTGCTAAAATTTCAGGACTGAGATGTGTTTCATTTTTAAAATCTGGTTTATAACAGGAAGCTAGTTTCAGCCTTAACTATGGAGCAGCAGCTGAAGTGGATATTCTCATTTGCTGGGGACAAACATGGCACAGCGAGAGTGGCACATTACTACTGCTTCACTTAGAAATCCTTCTACTGGTCAATCTCAGTTACAGGAGTGCAGTGTTCTTTTCTGAGGGAGTTGGAATGGCACCCCAAAACTATCTAGGCTCTCATACTATACACATTACAGTAGTGTCTGAACACCTGATGGGATAGAAGGAGAAAAGCCTTAGTGGCTTCCTCTGAACCCTCTTGGGTCCATTGTTTCTCTCTGTTTTGGATAGCCAGAGAGGAAGGAGAAAAAATAGACACCCCCTGTGGTCTAACAGTTAGTATTTTTCTATCACAAGACACATCTGGGAGTCAAACACTATTACTCCAATAAATTAAGTAATTACAATTTAATCCAGGTGACAACTGTTTTTATTATCGAATGCACATCATCTTCAAGGTTAGCACTCCCAAGGGATTATGCAAAAAATAACAAAGCAGTAAAGATTTTCATGTTACGGTACTGTCTGAACAATAAATTCTGTTTCTGTCCAGCCTATCAGTAAACATGCTGACTGTGCAAGAAGAAAGTACACAGCTAGCTGTGAAGCTCTAAAATTTGATTACTTACAGCACTTTGAGTTCTTTCAACCCAGACAAGGCCTTCGTATGGATAAAAGAAAGGTCATTGCCAGCCAGTCGCCTGGAAAAAAATTGTAATAATAATTCAGACTCTGAAAATACAGTACATTTACCACTGTCTAACAGATGAAACCATGAGTGCATCAAAGCTTGCATCAGATTATACCATATCTGCGATCCTCACATTTACCACCACTCACTCACGATTACACATTTTCAGTAAAGCTTAATGCATTAAAATCACTTCTCTAGACCTAAATTTGTGATCAACCCATTTAATCATATACTTTCCTCTTACTTTTACTATAGTTATCGGATTAATGCAATACATGAAGAAGCAGCTCTCAGAAACTAGAGAGCACTCACACAGACTATTTCCAACTTGAGATTTTCCTGTATGATAATTTAAGAATATATTTATATTCCCACACAGCCATCCTTTCTCAAAAAACAATAAAGTCTGGTATCACCCCAAGAACATAACCCTGTAAACAAAATCAGAAGACCTCCTCATTCTTCAGCCCCTTATTTACCAGCAATTAAAGGAGAGACTGAAAATGTTAAAATTAACACACCAACGGATGGATTAAGATTCTTCTTATGAACCTGGGTTTGAAAAATGAGTTAACTGCTATCAATATGTTCCTGAGGCTTCCAGCATAGCCTAGGTGAAAAGAATACTCAGTTATCCACATGTTTTTAATCTAGCCACCAGATGCTAAAGAAACTATGCAGTCAAGCAGCAACAGTTAGTTGCTAGACGGAAGGATGTGGAAGAGGTTTGCGCTGAACATCTTAAAATTCAGATGATGTTCACCACTAGATTCGGGGCAATAGCCTGGGTCCACTGAAGTCAATCGCAAAGCTCTCATTGACTTCAATGGGGCCAAGTCTCTCCTAGATAGTAATGCAATCCACATTAACAAACTAACATTAATAATCACTATAATAGGTATAAAAGTTTCTTCAGAATACAAGGTGAAAAAAACCACTCAAGCAACAGAGTTTCAGCTACTTATTTTTCCCCTTGTATTTTCTTCAAACCTTTTGCCAACTTCCAGATCAGTACTTGCTGTGTGGTCAACCTTTGCTGAGTTCCTAATATTTGCGACACTAGATGTTTTATTAAGGTAAAAGATGATAAAATGCAGAACACCTGGTAATCCCTAGCTGCCAAAGAATGAGAACATTACCATGAAGGATCATTTCAGCCAAAATATTAGCTTCCTTATTTGCTTTATTATCTAAATTGAGATCTGAAGACGTCAGTGTAGATTATATAATGGAAACATAAAATGGGAACATCCGTACAAAACAATCATTGTTGCTGTCTACTATCGCTCATTCTTCTTAAAAAAAAGTTAACAGCAGATTACAAATTATCATCTCTGTTCCAGAGAATTGTAAATTGATCCAGCATCAAGGGGAAACACTAGCATATTGTTTCTAGAGGGGAGATGACAGAAATAGCAACAAACCCATCAACCTGATTAATAGGTAGCAGGTTTAAAACTAACAAACAGACGTACTTCTTCACATAATGCTCAGTCAACCTATAGAACTCGTTGCCACGAAGGTCAAAAGTATAACTGAGTTTCAAAAAGAATTAGATAAGTTCATGGAGAATAGGTCCATGAATAGCTGCTAGTCAAGATGGTCAGGAATGCAATCCCATACTCTGGCTGTCCCTAACCCTCCAACTGCCAGAAGCTGGGACTGGACAACAGGGGATGGATCACTTGAAATCGTTCTGAACTTGTTCTGTTCGCTCCCTCTGAAGCATCTGGCACTGTTAGAGACAGCTTTACTGGACTATGTGGACCACTGGTCTGACCCAATGTGGCCGTCCTAATGTTCTTCACTAGAGTCTTAGGCTAGGTCTACACTACCCGCCCGAATCGGTGGGTAGAAATCGACCTCTCGGGGATCGATTTATCGCGTCCCAACGGGACGCGACAATCGATCCCCAAATCGATGTTCTTACTCCACCAGCAGAGGTGGGAGTAAGCGCCGTCGACAGAAAGCCGAAGAAGTCGATTTTGCCGCCGTCCTCACAGCGGGGTAAGTCAGCTGCGATACGTCGAATTCAGCTACGCTATTCACGTAGCTGAATTTGCGTATCTTAAATCGACTCCCCCCTGTAGTGTAGATGTACCCTTAGAGTGGTAAAAAGGTAGCAAAATTACTATTTTGTTCATCTCATCTCTGTAATCTCTCATTGTGTGTAACAGATCATCCTAGACATTAATTTTGTCTGTTATGGAAATTTGCCTATGACTGAATGGACACCATAATAAACTTCTGCATATTAATTAGCTTCCAATCCACCTGACAACAATAGTATTTTTGTATATAAACAAATGGAGCAGTGCCTGTCCTTTGTGAACAGGAACGTGATGGTGTAACAAGTGATACCAGTGTCCGTGTATTAGCAAGCCGAAGAAAAAGGGAGTTTATTATTTTTGTGAATTTGTTCCACAGATGTCACTTGGCACGAATAAACCCCCCAGGTCTAAGGTTTGACAACATGGTTTAGGTGGTCATAGTCAGAATCCATCAGAAGAATTGCAGCTGTAAACCCCAATACTCCAAAGACTTAAGCAAGAGTGTAAAACGCATGCAAGAAAAGAAGCGCCACTGAAATGAATGGAACTATTCAAGTACAAAAAGAATTAGCAGGATTGGAATTTTAATATGCATAGTTCAGGTACACTACTTTTTTTTTAAATTACAGTAGCAGCTAAAAGCCCCAATCAAGGCAATGGCCCCATTGTGCTTGGTGCTGTACATGCTTTCCAAATATTAAAAAAACCAAAACAAAAAACCTTATTCTTTCCTACACTCTCAAATACAACAAACTGCAGAGGTACAAGTATGCAGTGTTGCCAACTCTTTATTATTAGTAGCATTACCCTAGCACCTAGAAACCCTAGTCACGGACCAGGACACCATTGTGTTAGGCACTGTGCAAACATGGAACAAAAAGATGATCCCTGCCCTCAAACTGCTTACAATGCAAGTATAAGACAAGAGAAAACTCTCTTGTAATTTTATGGCAAGTCACATTGTCACTGTGTGTTGTTCTTAAAAGCCCCATTTCCTGGAGACAGGTAAATACACAAGACACTCAGCTTTTTTTGTTTGTTTGTTTGTTTTTTATAAAATCGTTTCTAGCCCTCCGGGTAACAGAGAAAAATTGAAAACATGCCCCAAGTGCAGTCTAAAGGCTTTGACACCAGAAGGCCAAAAAAACCTAAAAAGATCTAACGTTGATTAATATTTTTTTTAATCTCACGATTTTTGGTTTTTTAGAATTCAAACAACAAAAAACAAATCAGTTCGGTGCTACGTTTTCCAGCTAGTTGCCGTAAATGGTTTGTATTAAATTTAGATTTTAATTTTTTTCTTGAAACAGTGTGCATGTCTTTCTTTTTAATGATTTCCTGAAAAATGCACTGAGAACAAATATGTATAAAACATGTTGGCTCCCTGCAAAGTGTATAATGAGTACTTATTAACCTGTATTTTGCCAGTTATCTCCAAAACACAGCTATTTATTAAAAGATAATGCAAACTGTTTTTTTTTAATCAAAACAGAAACTCTTAAATAAACAGAGACATAACTGAACATATAGCACCAAATTATATCCGCAGACAGTTACTGACACTGATAATCTAGCATTTATTCAAAAAACCACCATTCCCCACAAGTTTACGAACAGCAATAGTTGTGGTTCTAAAAGCATTAAGCTCCCTACCTAAATGGGCTGTTTTGGGATTTGTTCAAACATCTGCTATAATATTTTTTATTAAAAAATAAAAATAAAAAGTCGGACCACCACCAATCCCATCCACTGTCACGGAAGCAACATATTGTGCACTAGAAACAAGACAAAACTAAGCAAAAGCAAGGCTTGCGTGACTTTATATAGGAATACTTAGCCTACCTTAAGGCAACTCCTGTTTATTCAGCCTGTTGCAACCAACCAACAGAAAAACTGCAATCCATTACATTTCCGTTTAGCTTAAGTCTGGCAGCCTTCCAGGAAACAGGATACAACTGGCCAAGTGTGCAAAGGCTGTACTAATCAGTTTTCCAAATATACATTTATCATGCATGTACTAGCCTTGGGGAGCATGGCTTCTCATCAGGAGGTTCCAACTACAGTTACCCAGTAGGCTAAGACTAAAATATTATGCATCATTTTAACAAGCTTTCTTCTGCTGCAGCATGCTGCAGCTGTCAGGATGGGGATATTTTTCTTCACAGAATAAGGTTTAGTTCAAAACCAGCCAAAGAGAAATAGGGGGGGAAAGGTCACATCTTCACTTGTTTTACATATGTGCTGTAACTGAAAAGCCCCAAGTCAGATTCCCAACATTATTCTTAACACATGTTAGAGGAGGAATTAATGAAAGATCAATAGATTGTTTGAGCCATACCCAGGGTTTTTTGGTAGAAGATTAAAAACTAAATTAAAAACACACACAAACAGGCTCAGTCTACACTTTTAACTTCTATTGGCATAGCTCTATTGGGTCAGGGTGTTGACTGGTTTTAGGAAGGCCGGAGACCAGTCAAGAGATTCGTCTCCCTACCTGCATCTATCATCAGGGTTTAAGAGTGCCCAAAATAAAAACCAACAAGGGAGTGCAGGAGTAAAACGCAGGTACGTTTATTAGACCAACAACAGTTAAACAAGGTAAGTAAACGGGGTATGCTGTAAAGGACTCCCAACACAGGTAGGTAAGGTAAATAGGTAAAGGTGGCACTATAATTATACTGCCTGTGACCAAAAAGGGTTTACTCCCTCCATAAAACTGGTCCCAGGTGAGGGGTATTGAGGATTTAAAAGGTCTCTACCATTTCTTGCAGCTTGCATCTGGAGCCTCATGATGCAGATCAGGTCTGGAACCAATCAGGTGACTCAACAGGATGAAGAATGAACCTCAGGCAACAGGTAGGCGATAACTCTACTTGATGCTGGTGATTCTTCTTTCTCCTTCCTGCGTCGTCGCGGGTGCAAGTAAGATCCCGATGAGAGAGTAGAAGCTAGCAGC